ATATATATATATACATATATATAGAGGGCTCAACTTTTTTTTACATAGGAACCTCTTAAGGGAGCCCCGCAGCGTCAAACGCCACATGACATGGGCCCTCGGGGTAGACTTTGAAGCCCTCAATTGAAAGGTCCAGCCTGACACCGGACTTAGGGTTTAGGAGTTTAGGGTTAGGGTTTAACTCCCGAGGACCCAATAAATCCTTGCGCACGCACACACACACACATGCGCGCAAACACCTCGACAACCCTAATGTTGATGTCTGATTAGTTGTTATTGAGACAGCCTTATGGCAGCCTTATAATGGTAATTAATTACCAGCACATGCCACAACACCGTGTTCCAACCCAGTGCCCCTTCAAACCGGAGCAGTGGTAATATAGACCCTAAACCCTAAACCCTAAACCCTAATATATCCGTTTACTAACCTTAGTAGACCTTGCATATTTGGTCGATTCCTTAGCATACTGTTATAGGTAGTTCTCCAGATTAGGGTCCCTTGTAGGGTCGTTTCTGTAAGGGTGCCGTAAAATTTGGGGACCTATAATTGGACCTATAATCAGAAAATTACCCATATGCCCAAAGCCTGGTCTACATTGTAAGGCCCCTACATTAGCCCTTGCAGGCGGCTACCTCGTGGACATGCCTGGCGAGGGAAGGCAGACAAGAGGGGTTTGGGGTAGAGGGTGTGTCGACCAAACATCCGTGGTAGGTGTATATTTGTTCGTGGACGGGAGCCATCGTGACGTACGTCCAACATTTTCAAGGCAAGAGAATTCCGTCACGAATGTGGAGCTCCAAATTTCCTGCCCCGAGAGGCCACTCAAAGCTGCTGGAAAGAGCTTAAGTTCTTAAGCGTACCCAAAATCAAAGAATACACCCATGGAAAGTGCAGTTGAATGGAGGAGTTCGAGTAGCATCACGGAAACATGTACACACAGAGAAGCACTTAGGGGTAAATGGCTATAATTATGATCCATACGTACCATTTGTTTGTACACAGATAAGCATGGACGGGTAAATGGTTGTAACTGTGATCCATAATTACCATAATCCTCTAGGTCAGACTAGAAAGTCTTCTATTTACATTCTCGTAGTGGGCCACCGAAAATCGTACAAATTCGGTGTTAAGGACGAAGGCGAATGGTTTAGAGCAGGCTTAGCAAAGAAAAGCGCTATTTTGCCGTTGCCACAGAATGCAGCCCCGACACCTTTGAGCACAGGGATCCCAGATGCTTTGAAGTAGGTACACGCAAAGAACGGCGCTGTTTTGCTGCAGAATGTGGCCCCGACCCTTTTGGGTGTTTAGGGTCTAGGAGTTTAGGGCTTAGGGTTTTGGGTTTAGGGGTGAGGGTTTAGGGTTCCGTCAGTATGCCCCATGCATGTAATTGCTCGGGATCCTCTTGGACTGCTAGGCTTGGGCGATATCAGTACCACTGTAAAATCCAGACGGTCCACGTAAGCTACCATGATGGACCTAGGTCCCAAAAGACCATCTTCGTGATGGTTCTGGGGACTTAACCCCGTAATACTTGTATACATGGACCCTCTTTGGTATGATGCTCTTGCGCTGCACCTGAAGCCTCCCGGGTGCCCGGGCTTGGGCTAAACCGAACACTCTCCCTAAGTGTCCCTGTAATCAAAAACAGATTATATACTGAGGCCTTGAAGTATCCCCCAAAAATATACTACATGGCTACATGCAATTGGATTTAGGATGCTTTAGTATTTGGCTGTCAAGGCCTAGCCTTGGGAGTTTATAGGGTTCTGGGTTTGGATTTAGGTTTCGGGGCCGAGGGCTTGCAGCTCACTCCCAGAAACCTTTAAGGCTTTTAGGGCGTACTATAGGGGTCCGACCATTACTAGTAACTAGTGGCATCCCCTTAAAGTCCCTACATTACTATACTAGACGATACCCTCAAGATCCCTATTGAAATTCGTAATCAAAGCTCTATATCATGGCTCGTCCTTCGCAGTGTGGCAGGTCGCGTCTCGTGGTCAAGGAGCAGGGTGCGGCTTCTCGCCCTCATTCATGAATCAAAAGCCCCCCAAAAAAGCCCTATATAAACCTAAACCGTTCAAACCAATAAACAACACCCTAAGGAATGTTTTGTAGGGCTGCAGGATACTGGAGTTCATCCAACTCCTAGACTTTTAGGTGAACCGAACCTCCTTAAAACCCAGCTGGATCGACAGCCCGACCATCATGAACCCTTAGAGCTTACATATACCTAGTGCTAAATACTGGTACTCGGGAAAATATACATTTCGGCACATGGAGACTTAGATCGAGAAAGAAGGGACTTCTTGGAGCATTCGGTGTGCTGGCTCTGGGGTTTCTCTTGTAGGGCTACCTTTCATTGAGCGAGTCTGAACCATGGAAGCTCAATTTTTGAAGCGCATGGTGAGTGCAGTGGTTTTGGTGGCATCAAGCCAGCGAAGACAAGGGATTGTTCGTGTGATAATTCTTGTATAAGACTCCCTTTCTCCAACCCATCTGTTGTGATAATTAACCCTCAACCCTAAATCCCTAAACCCGAAACCCCAAACCCTAAACCTCAACCGTACTGCTTGACTGCATAGCGGCAGGCCGGTGTTGGAGAAGCAATGGCACGTGATGGCACATAATGGCACCCCCAGGAGCCGGAGCCGACGGCTGCCTTCCTCTACCGCATCCGGGATGGCTTCTGGGTCGCTGCCAGTGAGGTTGTCTCCGAGAGCAACCCACAGTGGCACAATGTGCAGGTGTTCGCCAGGCTTGATGGCGAACACTTGGCTCAAGGCAAATGCCAGTGCCCTTGGAACGACAACACTGCAAGTGCAGTGTTGCCGCTGTGGTCGCAAGGACTCTGCACTGCGGCTTTGGAGGTTTTCAGCGAATTTGGCCGTGTGGCTTGGCGAAATGAGAGCTCGTACAAAGCCTACCACAATGTGAAGACCCAGAAGGCCGAACTCGAAGCCCGCGGATGAGAAGGTGCAGCAAGAGCCCTGGGCTTCGCGCAGAAGTTTAAGGAATTTTTGAATTTTGGGTTTTGGGTTTGGGGGTTCAGGGTTTTCAACCCGAAGAGGCCTAGATATGCGACTCCGAACCCCGCAATCCAAGAGCGAAGCGCAAGCCAAAGGCTCTTGGGCCTTTAGGGACCCAGCAGCAGCGATCTTTGGGCCCGAAGAATACCTGTAGTTTTCACTATGCTTCTTGTTTTGGGGTTTAACCAGTTCTATAATAAGGATCCTATATATGTCCTTTTTGTGGTTGAACCAATTTTATATTAAGGATCCTATACGGTAGCCACCAAAAGGAACGACAATAGAAACTATATATAGGTATATTATACAAGGCCGTTGGGCTGATTCAGAGCCATGGGCCAGGCTTTGCCCTAAGCAAATGCGACAAAAGCCCTAGACCCTGAACCCTACAAGTTAGGGGGGCTTAGGGTTTAGGGACCGCCCAATGGCCCTTTAATAGAGCCCTTATGGTCCCTAATAGGTATTGGAAGTATAACAGAGGGTAGTTGGGGGGTCTAGGTACAAGTCCTGGTTTAGGGTTTAGGGGTTTAAACTAAGCCCTAAACCCTAAACCCTAAACCCTAAACCCTAAACCCTAAACCCTAAACCCTAAACCCTAAACCCTAAGCAAACGCAACGCGAAGCCCAGGCTCTTCTGGCAGTTTCGGAACGCCAGGATTGGCCCCCTGCACTCGTTCACCAGCGTGGCTCGGGATGATCGCTTCGTGTGCTCTTGGGTTTAGGGTTTAGGGTTTAGGGTTTAGGGTTTAGGGTTTAGGGTTTAGGGTTTAGGGCTCTTGTGTTGGGTTCTACCAGGGTTTGGGTGTAGGGTTGGGGTTTTAGGGTTTAGGCATTCAGGGTTGCAGGGTTGGGGATGTTTACGAACTAGGGTGTAAAAACATGAATTATAAATTACGAACATTGGTCCTGAGTTCCTGATTGTAATTATAATTCGACATGTACCCAACACCAAGTTTGGATTGTTAAGTCCCCTAAAATACACATATTATTGGAGTTTAAGGTTGGGTTTTGCAGGCTTTTCCAGGTCCCCTGGAGCGTTTCTAAAGGACCTGCTTACAGGTTCCTGTTCCTTGAAGGTCACTGAAATTTCCCTAAGCGGTTTAGTACGGCGTTTGGGCATCTGTTGGCCAATGGCATTTAAAGTTTCATCCATGTAATATATAGGGGCCTAGATAATTACCAATACTATTTTGGGCGTTCCTTATTATAAATATAGTATAATATACCCCCCAACCCTATTCCAATGATTAACGCCCCTATATTAGGCTTCAGTTATTAATGACGAGTTTTCACACTGTAATGAGTTTTCACACTGTATTCAAGGGTTCTACTATTGCGGCTAAATATGTTGGGCAAAACCTGCATTAAATAGCTATCCCTATCTTGTATATTAACTCCTAATGACGGCTATTACGGGTGATGCAGTATTTTTTTGTTTGTTGGGGGGGGACCGCGGGATAACTGTTAAGCATTCACTAGCTGGGGATCGTCATGTCTTTGGAGCATTGCTTCACGGTTTTCAAGTTCAGGGTCTTACATCCCAAACCCTAGTGTCTAAGCCCACGAACGCTCAGCTTGAGAACTCATGGTTCAAACTTGCAGGACCCTAAACCCTAAACCCCTAAACCCTAAACCCTAGACCCTAGACCCTAGACCCTAAACCCTAAACCCCAACCCTAAACTCTAAACCCTAAAACCCTAAAAACCAAGTTCCAGGGTTGCTTCGGCTTGCTTCGGCCTTGCTTACGTATGTCGTTGCGATACGACAGGTGAACGATCCTACCTACCCTTCGAGCATGCGGCTGAACCCGCACCGAAATCTTAACCCCCGAAATCTTAAATAAGCCCCCCTAAACCCTAAACCCAAAACCCTAAACAACACAATACCGCCCGATGCATGAGCCATACCTCGCCACATTCTACCATACCTCGCCACATTCTACCGCTCGGCCCAGACACGCCTGGACACGCTTCATATGGAGTTCAAGAGCAGTTTGCATTTCGGGACAGGACTGGACGCGCCTTTGTCGAGATACCTTTCGGTTATCGTTTACTGTAGACTAGACTAGAGTACGACTTCTACACTTTACACTTATTTATGCTATACTATACTATATTTTACTATCAGGTGACGAGTTCGTCTTTCTCTGCAACGTTCCTGGCGTCTGGGGCCACTACACTGACGGACGGGTGGTCTTCAACAATGGTGCCTTTGCCTTCAGGGTTTAGAGAGTGTCGAGCTTATTAAATTATTATAGGGGCCTTAATAAGTAGAGTAGGTTTTGGGGCCTTTTTATATTATAATTATAAAGCAGTTTCGCAGAAATAGTATTGGTAATCATTTAGCCCCTACATTATAGGGTTTATAAAGTGTGGCGGGTGTAATGCTGACGGGTTTGACATTGCAACACGCCCAGAGTTGCGGGGTTTAGGGTTCAGGGTCTAGGGTTAAGGTTTCGGACTGTTTGCATTAGAGCTCGACTTCAGGGCGGAGGATCAGAGATGCGAGCCCCTTCGATTCCTTTCTACGATGTCTCCTCATAAAGGGCCCATGTGCCCACAACATGTGTGTAGATGCATATACCCTCAGCCTTACGAGTATGGGTGCTTTGGGTCTTTAGACCATGGTGCAAGGCGGCTTGCACAGGTTTTGAGGTTCAGGACCACCCCAAAAACCAATCCAACACCCTAACCTTTCAGTTGACGCTGGGTGTTTTCGTTTAATTGGAAGTCCAATCTGCAAAGCTGCGATGCGCCAGCTGAGCAAGAAACCCCACCCCCTAAAATACTCTCAAGCCCCCAAGGGGGTTTGAGGTTTAGGATTTGCGAGTTAGGCTCCAGATCATCGAACCCCAGTTCGCAAAGTCAGACACATGTCTCAGTATAACTCCCAGCGCTCGAATTACGGGTTGAGAATCTTATGAGTTGCCCAGAGATTCAATGTATACTACCACTATGGAATCAGGCCAAAAAAGACCATTCTTGTCATGGTTTTGCAAGGGACCGAACCCCTAAACCCCATAAATGGTCCTTCTAGGTTGATTTTTTCGAGAAAACCTAGCTGAATCTTGTTGCTCGAGACTCCCCCCATGTAGTTGTAATAGGAAGCCCTCAAACCCTAAGGCTCCATGTGCCCATATAGTATATACTTCGGCCTTAAAGTACCTATATAGGAACC